TGTGTAAAATACTTCATATTAAATAATAGCTGCTACCAGCGTCTTCGTTCGCGTGGAATTTGTAAAGCGCTGCCTTAATGCGTTTGATTCCCGGACCAGGCAAAATTTCATAAAGTTTTTCTGAGAGAGAAAATAGCCTAAGTTACTTCTTATATGGACAGCTACTTGGTAGTGAAATATCATCAAAATCGGTCCGAACGTTTTGAAGATTACCCGGAACAAATAGACAGACAGGCAGATGAAATATATTTGGACTGGTTTTTAGGCATAGGTATCGTGTAAATAACCGTGTGAGCATGAAAAAACCTATTATTTTGACATCACAAACATGCCTATCAAAGAATAAAATAAAATACATTATTTTCTGGTTCACGAGTCCCGTTCAGATAATGAAGCAAGCAGGTGTGAAAATAAATTTATTATTTCTTTCCCCGTTTAAACTCATTCCATTTTTTTGTTTATATTGTTATACTTTGCAAATTTTCATTTAAATATAGCAAAATTAAAGACAAATGTAATTCCTAATTATAAATCATAATAATTTAAAAATATTTTTAGGTTATAAAGTAACATTTATTAACCTTATTTTTAATCAAATAATTAAACAATTTTGATCTGTAACGTCTTTCCTCTCTTTCTTTTCTATAATCTGTGGCCATAATATCGTGAAAAGGGACGGAAGTGTGTAACAGGAAGTCACATAATCGCGCGCTATTTGATTTGACCAATGAGCGTACATAATAATTAAGAATACAGAGTGTCACAACCCCTATTCATGCCGTGGGTGGGTGGCCAGCGTGGTATAGTAGGCCAAAGTCTCCTTTCTAAGCAGTCAGCAGTGGATTATTAAAGGCTGTTGATGATGATGATGATGAATGAGAGTATACTAGAATTATCGTAAGATGAAAGTGAGATATGAGATGTCACACATCAATCCAATTACTAAAACTATCTATCGTTTTTTGAAGTAAAACTTCTTAACGCACGCTTGACTTGGGGAGTAAGCTGGTGAGAGAGAGAGAGCGTTACGAAAAGTGTGATCGGGCGAGGCGAACGCAAGTTGAAAGGGAGATATAAGTTAGTGAAGATAGAAAGAGAGAGAGTTGCGAGCACACATTTTCTTTCTCTCATAGCCAAGAAGTCTTACTTCAGTCGTGTGGTCTAAAGCTCACTCGTTTATTTCTTTTAACAAATATCGTTTATCGTTTTTGTAAATACCTTTATTTCTCTTTTTAAAAGACGGGAGGGGACTTTACAAACATTCATGAAACGGACACAAACAACACTTAGATTCAAAACAACAATTTGTGGATCACACAAAGTGTTATGTCATGTGGGGATTGAACCCACAACACTCAGTTTACACTACCCACTACACTATCCGTTCAGTCACCTACATACATGATCGATGTTATTTTAATATACATATAATTACAGTCAATCAGATTTCTATTTACTCAACTCACTTCCTACTTCCCCATTCTTAGGACAGCTTGGAATGTTTTAATCACACTACTCACGGACATTTATTCAGCCACGAATGTTTGACTCGCATGTGAGTGTATGAGTTAGCGGTGTTGGCTACTGACTCAGAGGTCATGGGTTCGATTTACTATTAGGATTTTCATTACTTCAGGTTTGTGTGATAAGTAAGATCACTTATTCTGTGTTTGGTTTAAGTTGTTAGTTACCTCACCGCTTCGTACTGCGCTGAGTGTTGTGGGTTCGATCCCCATATGGGACAACACTTTGTGTGATCCACAAATTGTGGCTCTGAGTCTGGATGTCCTTTGTGTCCGTTTCATGTATGTTTATAAAGTCCCTAGCGACACAGGGAGTTTTCTTTTATACAAAAAAAAAGAAATTCTTATAATTAGTACGTATTTACATTACCATTTGGTTACCATAGTACAGGCTCTATTTTATTTGAGATCAGGCAGCCGTGTGTGAGATGTATCAATTTATTATTATTATTATAATCTTTGTTATTACGGTACAACTTCCTACCACACAACAATTCTTGTATTGTATTCAAGAATTGTTTACTTTAACATAGATTTTTTTATTTTAAAAATTTTGAAGTTTGTTTATTTTTACATAGATTGGGCGATTTTGGTCCGTGGGATGACGAATCAAGAATACAGAGTGTCACCACCCCTATTCACCCCGTGGGTGTCATGAGAGCCGACCAAGGGAGAAAACTACGCAGAACAACAGCACTGCAGAGAGAAGGAAAACTTGAAACAAACCATATACCAACCCGTGTGGCCAGCGTGGTATAGTAGGCCAAAACTTCGTTTCTGAGGAGAGGCCTATGTCTAGCAGTGGACTATTAAAGGCTGTTGATGTGGGATGATTTTAGATAGAATTTATTATACGTTAAACAAACACAAATAGTAAAAGTTTATTTTATTAAACGTCTCTACCTTTTAAGCTTGAAGCGAAACTTTATTTAAGACAACGCCCGCATTAGGAACATGTCCTGTGTCGCGGGAGACTTTACAAACATACATGAAACGGACACAAAGAACACCCAGACTCAGAACAGCAATTTGTGGATCACACAAAGTGTCGTCCTATGTGGGGTTTGAACCCACAACACTCGGCGTAGTAGAAAGCGGCGTGGCGACCGCTTAAACCACTAGCCATACGTGCATTCAAAGATTGTGGGCTATAACTTGAAAATAATGACAAAATTAATATTAACTCCTAATATAAAAAAATTGACCCGCCCCGTTACGTCTGGCAGATGTTCCAATTTATTTTTTAAAAATAATGCGTATAAAATGATTTAAACAATCAGCACACCGCATTACGTGTTATATTAATATCACATACCGTGGCGACGCATGCGATAGCGACGCGTCGCCACGCTAACAGCATTAGATGTTTACAGTTAGGTACAGTTAGTATGTACAGGGGATAAGGAGAGGCGTATCAAACGCACCTTAACGATTATATTATTTCTAATTTTTATTCCACTTACGTAATAAGCAGGCAAGTCTATTACCGCCAAAATGACACTTGGGAATTTAATAGAAAAAGTTTAGTTAATACCTAGGTATGTTCGTGTGGTGACAGATTAAGAAAACAGAGTGTCACCACCCCTATTTATCACGTGCAAACTAGGCATGACAACAGCAATGCAAAGAGAAGGAAAACTTCAAACAAACCCTATACCAACCCGTCTGGCCAGCGTAATATAGGCCAAAACGTCCTTTCTAAGGAGAGACCTATGTCCAGCAGTGGACTGTTATAGGCTGGTGGTGTGTGTGTGACCTAGGTATGATAAAAAGTAGGTATGCGACCGTGACCTTCTCGAGTCTGCTGACACTTCTCAATCTTTATGATCAATATCCGTTTTCTACTATTGCCCTTCCACCTTTACAATAGTTTTTACAAAACATCTGTTAGTTTCATATAACTATAGGAAAATATAAAGATAAGTATATAAGATTACTAACTATTTAACGTGATAGTTTTACACATTTTTTATAGACCGTATAATATCTCATTGGTATTTTTCTAACCTATTTGTACCCAAATATAAAAAAAGCACATTAAAAAAAGACTTCCTAAATTCGGACACTTGGGTTTCTTTTTTTGAAAACATTCTATTTCAATGTTTGAAAATACTTTCTGCAGTAGGTATCAGAATATTTTGTGCATGCCTAATATACATATAAATAACTAAATACTTGCTTTTGCCGGCGGCTCCGCCCGTGTGTTAATCGGTTATCGCGATTAAAAGTAGCCTATGTCCTTCCTCTCCAAATTTCATCTAAATCAGTTTAGCGGGTTTTGATTGCCCATATAAACTTCCATCCTCCTTTTCACCTCTTACAGAATGATTTCTGGGATAAAACTATTCTACGTGCTTTCCCGGTACTCAAACTATTTCTATACCAAATTTTAACTAAATCAGTCCAGCGGTTTAAACGTGACGAGGTAATAGACAGACAGAGAAACATTTAAATTAATAATATTAGTGTGAATTTTAAATGAAAGAACTAATATGGAAAGAACAGTTACAAATAACAATTATTTATTCTGAGAAAATAGCAAAAGAGAAGCAGCTAAACAATTTGCGCTGTGAAATCACTTTCAAATACTTTTAAAGTATTATTTTGACAAATTAAATGTCAACAGATGCTTAACCAACAATTACCAACCAATTGATATAAAGAACAGAAAAAAAAACTATCGTGTCATAACATCACCAGCGCGGGCCTAAATGTAATAAAAAAAACTTCCAACTGACGCCGAGCTCATTTTATTCTGTCAATCGTTGATGTCAAACTAAATTAATAAATCTAAGTATGCTTTAAGATTTAATTTATTTATAAAAGACATAAATCATAGAAAATAATATACCTAACGCTGTCCCTAGACATACATATTGTTCACTCTTTTAGAATTCGGCACTTTTAAAAATCGAAAACAATTCTGTTTTTAAATTTGTTTGCATTACAATTTTGCTGTAATGTTGGTACACAAATCATAATATATGAATGGACGATTATAGAATTACAATTGTTGTACTCTGGGCATAGATAACATTTAAAAAGTATTTATTACCTTTTGAGGCAATATAATGCCCTTATCCATAGTTTTAACCAAAATAAGTCGATAGTATTTATCTAGTATTAAATTTACTTCACTATACTATAATTTACACCTAACTTCCAAAAGATAACCTTTCAGGGATAAACACAAAGCCATAAGTTTTTCTCAGCGCATGTTGTACACTTAGTAACCATAACATAATTTAATGAATTGTGAGAATATTAAAAACGGTGTCTAGTACAGCTACCTGTGTAATTATATAAAGTAATTAATCTAAAAGTTGGTTAATTATAGATGATTTATTTAGTAATTTATGCGTTATACTTATAACGATTCATCTAACCATTAAAATATTCACACCTAACTAGAGCCTAGCCTTATTTTGCTATTCATTTAGAGAATCTCAAAAGAAAATATTAATAAAATCCACTTACCTCCAGGAAATCTACTAGGGAATATCCTTCCATGTCTGTTGATCAACCAAGGATACAGGGGGTATGACTCTCTTGGCACTGGTGGAGCAGGATGTGGTGGCGGATGGGGCGGCAACGGGGCTCCAAACCCTTGTTGCTGATGTGCTAACGCTGCTGCTAGTGCGGCTCCTTGGAAATGTGCCAAAAACTGATGGTGATGACTCTGAGCGTCCAGGTAAGACAGCCTCTTTAACTCAGGAGAAGGAAAAACTGGCGCCAAAGCACTTGGCCTCAACAATGGTCTCGGTGAAGGACTCCGGGGGGATGCAACCGGGGAGGGCGACCCTGGACTGGCTAGCGGCGGCGAAGCATGTTTCGGTCTCTCTGAACCACCCACTATACTGTCTATACTGAATCCAATTTTCGGCTTCGATGGCACCGCCACCACAGGGGTCGGTGCGAGAGGCATCATGCTTTTACACACGGTGGGTCCGACACAAAAAATAAAACACCAAATCAGAAGCACATGTCACACAGAACACAATCCATCGTGACGCGAGCGCGCGATACGTTCGCCAAGGCGGCGCGCGGCCGAATGAGCCCTCCGCACTCACCGAACGCCCGTCGACACCAAAAAAAAATAACGAACATGGACTCCGCTGCGACTATTGGACGAAGCCTACTGAGGGGTGGCGACAGATCTGTGAGCAGCACTCTTTATTTGAAAATCTAGTGCGTGATTGGTCAACAAGCGTGTAGAGGTGTTGTTTGAATTTGGAACGCTTTCCCAGTGGGCGGTTTGAGTTAAGAGCTTGTGATTTAGCCGACCATATGCCGTATTACATCAGATTTGCGTGGCGCTAAGCGCGGAATGGTGCTTTCGAATTTAGCAGGATATGAGTCAATTAAGGCGTAGATTGGGTGGTGCGCATCGCATTTCTCGTTTTGTGTCCGCCGGCGTGTGCGGTGCTTGTCCGTCGCCTCCGCCGCTCTCCACACAGCGGTTATACTTTTAATTAACTCCGATGCTATATTAGCTTAATGTCGCGAGTTAAACGTGGGGTCTTCAATAATTCCCCCCAATTATTGATTTGAACAAAATGGCGGGATTTATAATCGCGTGCGGTTTAATTATTTTTATCGATAATAAAATAATTATTTGCACTGAGTGTGCGATTGCTTCTTATGTAGCTGAATAAATTTTTAATGAAACACGATAAAGTTTGAATTTCACGGATATTTTCCACCATTACAAACTAAACAGTGTTTGGTAAATAGTTTGATTTTTAATTAAAATTGTTATGCTTAGTAGTCCGTGGTGTGTTGTGATTGATTTTTGTTTATAATTCTAGTCATAATGTACATTCAAGAAGGTATTAACATCTCTAGGTAATTCAAATGGATAGTTGTGCTTATGCAACCTATCCTTCAGTTGGGAGTCGTTTTTAATTAGATTTAATTAGATTAAATTTTAATATACCTATAACATGGCACGATAATTCGTAAGTGTAAAAAAGAAGTTCCCACTTAGACGGATTCTTGGAACTGCCGCCGCGCGCAGTTACGATGGAAAAGAACAATTTGAAAAAAGAACAAACATGTAACTAAAAAATCCATTCTTAAAAAAAAAACAGTCGCTGACATTTGGATTTCGCAATACATTTTAATTAATTTTATATTGAAAAAAACTTTTATTTTTATTTTTCACCTTCTGTAAGTAAGTAGTAGGTAGGCGTAGGTTGGAGTTTCGTAGGCACTAGGTATTAGGAGAACGTTGCGATAAATGAACCACATAACTTTGAGGTGGCATATATTTTTAAATAAAAGTGATAGAATAAATAAATAGAATGCTATATTTATTTTAAGTCAAATTTGATCACATTTATAGTTATAAAACGATTTTTAGAACCGTTACTTTCTTTGGACCAAAGTAACATTGAATGGACCGCCCAGTTGCCATCAATGGACTTGGACACGTTTGTTGCGACTGCACAGATGGCGTAGTGGTTTAAGCGGTCACCTCGTCGTTTCTGTCCGTTTACTGCTCTGAGTTTTGTGGGTTCGATCGCCACATGGAACAACTCTTTGTGTGATCCACAAATTGTTGTCCTGAGTCTGGGTGTTCTTTGACTCGAGCGGGATTGACTCCAAGGGCTGTCGCACTTGTGACTTTTGAGTTGCAGGTGTCCATGGGCGGCGGTAGTTGCTTACCGTGACCCGTCTGCTCGTTTGCACCCTTATACCATAAAAAAAAAACTATAATAATAATAATAATAATAATATATCTCACACACTCACACACGGCCGTCTGATCCCAAACTAGGCAGAGCCTGTACTATGGTAACCAGACTGCTGATAAACATACTTATATATTTCTAAATACATACATATTATAGATAAATTACACCCAGACACAGAACAAATGACCGTGCTCATCACACAATATTTGTCCTGGGTGGGAATCGAACCCACGACCTCCGGTTTAGCAGTCAGGGTCACTAACCACTAGACCAACAGGCCCGTCAAATAAATAGTTCCAGTATAGTTTGATTGTAAATAATTAGAACTAGAGATGTTACGTGGTTGATTTATTTAGATAATTCTTTAAGTTTTTTTTACTTTACCTATCTCTAGTCATGAGGTATACCTAACATGAAGCGTCATTGTAACGTTTGCGGTACTAAGACGGCCATCTTCATGTAACGTTTTTCACGTAACTTGTTAATTTATAATAAATCATAACTGGTGTGACTTCGTTCGCGTGGAATATAAAAAGCGCTACCTTAATGGTGTTGTACAGTACGCGAATGCAGTCCATGAGGCCCCGGGTTCGATTCCCAGTCCGGGTAAAATTTTATAGGGTTTTTCTGAATAAATAGCCTAAGTTACTCCTTATATAGACAGCTGCCAGCCGTTTTAAAGATTACCCGGCACAGACAGACAGGCAAAAAATATTTAAACTGAAGTTTATGCATAGGTATAATACATAAAACTTATTATTTTGACATTACAAACAGACACTTAAATTGTATTTATTTGTATAGATTATCGGAACGTGGGAAGTCATATTTCGTCACATATGAGCCAGGGTCGACCGGAGTGACACCAGGGCCTCACAGAAAACCGGTGTTAAGCAATTCTTTCGTTGCTTTTACATAGTGAGTAAGGTTATCAGAGTCCAAACCCCCGCTTCCCCCCTAATTCTGAAGGCTCAAAGGACGGCATCGCACTTATCACTCCTGAGTTGCACGTGTTCATCGACGGCGGTAGCCACTTTGCCCCTGTGCCATTTTTTTTTTTAAATAATTAAGCTTTCTGTACTTTTTTTATATAAAAACTTTAAGTTTTACAAGTTTCAAGCTAGTTATCTTGATTCCATACTAATATTATAAATGCGAAAGTGTGTAGGTATGTCTGTCTGTTACCTCTTCACGCTTAAACCGCTGAACCGATTTAGATGCAATTAGGTGTAGTGATAGTTCGAGTCTATGGGAAAGTTTGTATGGGGAATCAATAACCGCCAAACCAAACCAGATGAAAGTTGATTCTTGAGGAAGGACATAGGCTACAGCGATAGTCGACATACACACGGGCGGAGTTGCGGGCAAAAGTAATAATAATAATAATATTCTACCACATTCACACAACGCCATCTAGTCCCAAACTAAGCAGAGCTTGTACTATGGGTACTAGACAACTGATATAAATACATATATACTGTTTTTTTGTAAATACATACGTATTATACAGAGAAACACCCAGACCAAATATTAAATGTTCAAGCACACAAATGTTTGACTTGAGCGGGAATCGAACCCGCGACTTTTGGAATAGCAGTCCGTTACACTAACCACTATGCCATCCGGTCGTCAAAAGTAGGTTTAGATAAGCGATTCATAAGTTAATTCCAACTTTGTCCAATTCCCTTTCACATCATTTAATCTCCTGATATTGTTGTTCGACATTGAGATACCTAATCATTTCCTCAAACTGCGTCCTACATTTGATCTAGGTAGTTATTTCCTTTTGTTTATAAAAAACTTATACCTAGTTACTGTACAACTCTATGTACCTAATAAATATGTACCTTTCTATTTATATACCTGTTATAACATCCGTGTAGTGATAATACGGAATACGGAATGTCACTACCCCAATTCATCCCGTGGGTGTCGTAAGAACTTAAGGAGTAGTAAACGTAAGAAGGAAAATTTGACACAAACCCTATACCAACCCGTCTGACCAGCGTGGTATAGTAGGCCAAAACCTCCTTTCTAAGGAGAGGCCTATGTCCAGTAGTGGACTATTAAAAGCTGTTGATGAACAGAGTTACAATTTCAATCACAGAATACAACAGTTAACTGGTAAAATAGTATTACAGACTTCAAGGCGTCTGTATCATGACTAGCTTGTCGCACTAGGAATATATCCTGGATCGCAGGGGACTTTACAAACATACATGAAACGGAGACAAAGAACACCCAGATTCAGAACAACAAATTGTTGATCACACAAAGTGTCGTCCCATGTGGCGATTGAACCCACAACGCTCAGCGAAGAAGTAAGTTGGTCGCTTACACAACTACGTCATACGTGCAGTCAAACTAATTCGTGTAGTCATGTATCACCGACTTCAACGCGCTTGTATCACGACCAGCTATTGTCCGCGGCATACAACCGTTCATACCTTATTAAACCCCCTTAGGGGTGAAATTTCCAAAAATCCTTTCTAAGTGGGTGCTTACAATATAAAAAGCATCAGCTGCCACAATTTTAAGTTTGTAGTCTCAGTGGTTTAAGCTCAACATTGATCAATCAGTCGGGACAAGAAATTTTATTTGTACCTATAGATGAGTTGTAATAAACTGTAAGCTTCATTTGTTCATTCTCACCATTAGGGTTGGTACTTTATCTCCAAATTTGAATTGGACTAAACGATATGTACAACTCGTTTAAGTAGGTAAGTAAATTTATAAGAAATACACAATATTTCGGACATTTGACACACAACGCCATCTAGTTTCAAACTAAGCAGTGCTTACTTAAATATATATATTACTTAAATACTTTTTTTTGTAAATGCATATATATCTTATACATAGAAAACACACAAACTTCGAAACAAATATTTGCAGATCATAAAAAACATTCGGTCCGACCGTTCCCGGAATCGAACCAGAGACCTCAGCACAGCAGTCACATACGCTAAGACTGACCCACCGAGGTATCAATGAAGGAGTTAGGAGTACCTATATGTATCTTTGTAACCCCCCAGAAACATCTTGAAAGAATACCACTAAAGATCAATGTGTGAGCTCCTTAAAGTCAAGGATCTTTTCATCATCAGCTCAATAGCGTATGATACCGACTATCAAACACAAATATTGAGGCTTGGCTTGATAAAAGATGGAACACATTGTATGGACCTATAAATGTTGAGGGATTCCCTCGATTTCTCGGGGGTCTAAT